TGAGATCAGCAATACTCAATAGTTCCTAATGAAGTAATAGCGAACTACTATAATAATTAGTTCACTATATTACCTATTGAGTAATTAAGCATAATTCCTTAGTAGTTAATAGTACCGATTTAGGTGTTAATGAAGCACTACTCCTTTGTTGCTGCTTACTTCCTGCATATTTACCTGTTAACCACGGAACTATTATAAAGTGTCACCGCATTTACACACAGAGATAACTAAATCGACACTGTAAACAAGGCTGCCGGTCAAAGTACTGTATACCCAGCAAACAATTATAGCGACAGTTTCTCTGCCACACGGAAGGTAAGAACAACTAAGTTTTCTAGAAAATCACTCCCAGTCTAAAAATGATATTGTATGAGTGTAATACTTTAAAGAGAGGGTCACTACAGCTTATTTAAAGTATAGCCTACTACGATTGCAGTATCTGTTGATTCAAATTGTTGTTTAAATAATAAACTTGAGGGGAAAAATTTATTCCTGTATTTTAATAGGTTACTAAAGTGATACTTTAAATGGGCCTACTTTCACTTTCCAAACGTTTTGTGTGTGTGTGTGTGTGTNAAACCGTAAAAAAAACAATTAAAATCCGTAAAATATACAGTACAGTGGGTGCAGTCCTGTAAAACCAATAACGTTGCTACCGTATTTTTGACGGTAAAGTTCTGGCAACCACAGCTGCCAGTTTTTTACCGTAAAATTTACGGTTTATTTTTTACAGTGTGTACATCGACATTCATTCCATATATATCGGGTTTCATTCCTTATATATATATATCGGCTTTCATTCCATATATTCCGAGTTTCATTGTATATATATCTTGATTCATTCCATATTTAGCACGAACTGCTGTTCGTACGCTAAAAGCTAAGATGATATTTAATGAAAAGTATGATATACTGTATATACAATGAACGTGAAATTACAGATAGGCACTGCTTTGGTCAACTTCGTTGGGTCTTCCACTTCAAGGCGCGCGATAAGGGGGGCGTGTCACTGTGATGCCTGAATGAAGGTTTTATAGAAACTGTTGCAAATGCATGCAGCAACAGCACTGTCATGTCCCGATCGTCCGCTCCTCCCGTGTGCCACGCCCCCTCGTTAACCCCGTGTGGAATCCCCATGTGATCAGTTGTTTCTTGTTGTAGTCATTAGTCTTTTGTATTTGTCTGCATTAGGTATGTTTTCCCCAGTCCGGTCATTGACGTCAGTTGTTGGTTTTGTCTTTGTTTGTGGATATACAGTAGTTCATTAAAAATCATCTTAGCTTTTAGCGTACGAACAGCAGTTCTTCAAAATATAAATTTTACAGACATTCGGTTTAAAGACAGAAATTGTTCATCTGTCTTTAAATTAAAGATAATTTAAAAAAAAAAACTTTCATTGTATATATATCAAGTTTCATTCCATATATATCGGTTTCATTCCATATATCTTGAGTTTCATTGTATATATATCAACATTCATTCAATATATTCCGAGTTTCATTGTATATATATCGGCTTTCATTCAATTTATTCTGAGTTTCATTGTATATACATCGACATTCATTCCATATATATCGGGTTTCATTCCATATATATCAAAGATGATTAAATATTTCCTGTTTGGCATGCCATAATATATATATATATAGTGTGTATATATATATATATATATATATATATATATACACACACACACACACACACACACACATATATATATATTGTTAAGGTCGTTATACAGCCCGTAATTGTCCGGATAATTTATCCTTTTATCTTCTTTCCTTAAGTTTATTCTTAACAAGGTTTCTGTTTTTGCTGGTGTGATTTTGGAAGCGACATTCGGATTAAACTGCTACCGTTAAGTACCAGTAACTCCACAGTTTTCACCTATTTATGAGAGGACTGCTTTCTGTCGAGTCATGTCTTATGTGTGTATAGACCGAACACTGTTCTGGTTAACCTTTGTAATCAAACTTAGCCTAGGTGTGGAAAAAGAAACGAAAATCAAAAGTAAATTTAGCGTGATACCATTGGTATTCTTGGTGCATGATGTTGAGCAAATGTGGGCAAAAGGGTTTTGTATCAATCAAGTGGAGCATAAGAAATCCCCATGGCAGCAAAACTGGCCACTTCGTACAGAAGCAGAAGAGCTCAGGCTTGGGTGACATACGGGTGATCCAGGATTTTTATTGATTTAAAAATCTGAGCGATGCTGAGCACTGTTTACCGTAATCTGGACCGCTAAGATTGCTGGCTCTTTTGGTTGATGAGCTGTGGTTATATTTAACTTCTCTGTCAGACTTATGCAATGCTTTATTTTCTTGTAATTGGTGTAAGGATAAAGAATTAAGCATGTTGTGGAGGTGGACTTCAATTCTTCAAAGACACGGCGTCTCAACACTCCGCATCAGGCGTCTAATACACGGTACCACGAATAATTTAATCTAGTTCACGAATTAAACGTCAGTGATTGATTGAATAAGGAGAAGAATAATTGTGCATACTCATGATTAATGAAACATATATTTTCTAAAAAGGATAAAAACAAATTTATTTATGAGCCCTAATAAATACTACGCTAAATGTACTCAAGTTTTGGTTCGATCCATTATTTAAAATGTCTGTTGAGGAATTTAGGGTAATGCTAAAGATTTTCATTAGAAATGTTGTTTTTTCCTAGACAGTGTTTTCAAGGTGCACCCATCCGTATCCGAGGCTTTGGCAGAGAACAAGCCCGTGGTGGCGCTAGAGAGTACTATTATCACACATGGAATGCCCTATCCTCATAACTTGAAGTGAGTAACATGGTCAACCGAGAGAAATTCGCCAGCGTAATACATGTTTTGTGTTTTAGTTCACATCACTCAGGGTTGGTGATCGAATTGTTACCCCAATCTCGTAGTATTCTCATGTACAATAACAATAAAGAATTTAATCTTGAATCTTGAATTTAATTTGGCAAATGTGATTCGGAGCAAAAATGTCAAGGTTGTCTTTAGTGATTGCCCCGTATCGGATACAGCATGTAGGTCAGAATCACGTAGCACCCAACAGCACTGAGATCTGTTTATGCATTCTGCTAAGATACATTCTATCCATGGCAAACAATGAAATGGTTTTTTTTTTACAATAGCAAACCACTTTTTCCATTGAATCACTGATGGTTGTGTATTTAAATTCCACATCCAATTCTATGAGAATTTGATCCACTGTGTCTAGTAAATATAATTAGGTATAATTTAGGTATTTTAAAAATATTTCTATTGTCCATGAAGATTTCTGTATTTCCAAAAAAAATCTTACATTTTAGGCACGTAGTTCTTCGTACATTTCTGTGCAAGTCAGTATGGCTCACACAGATGGAGGAGACCATACTGTAGGTATAATATAACACAGAGCAGAATGCCTTTCCTGAGTCTGTCCCTAGGAAATGACAGAATTCATGACATGCAGACAGGGCCCTGAGCAGGCTTAGGCTCACAGGCAAGCATGTATTTTTGGAATTCCTCCAGAAAGTACAATGATACCGTGAGCATCCTGACACTTCAGCATACAAAGCACTGTCACATGCTTAATATAATTAGAGCTTCTTTTCATAAGTAGCAGAATTATGTGTATGGTCCATCAAAGGAATTTGCTGGATAGTCTGGTAGTATCTTATGTTTAGAAGCATTTACAGCTGCATGGATCAGCTTTGCACCCCCCCATTTATTCCATTAGAATTGATTTAAGCTCTAACTTAGAACTTGGATATACATTCTTGCACTTCATTTCAGCACAGATTCTCAATCGGATTCAAATCAAAGCCAATACTGAACCATTCACTTTAATGGGTTCAGCCTGTTGCAGTGTCACTTTGGTTGTTTGTATCATGTGACACTGAAATATAACAGTTTCATGTCTTTTACAGACTAGGATGAGAGTCCCTCTTTATTCTGCATTTATCACTATCTGTTTTTTCCTTTAACCTGGCAAGCATCCCAGTTTTTTCCCACAGCTTCTCTCCCTATATCTTACAGGGTCTCCCATCCATCCAAATAGATTTTTTCTTCACTAACTCTTAACACTTGGAGATTTTCTGCCTTTTCAGCCATGGGAATCAGTAGGTTTTTCACAGTTGTCAGCAGCCCCTCAGTGGCCAGTTTCCTTCATACTGCTCTGCCCAGTTTGTGGGAGGAGAGTCTGCTCCAAGCAGCTTCTTGCTACATACTTCTTATTTTTCAGTAATTGATTTCACTGTGCTCCAAGGGTTGTTCAGTCCCTTTGAAATATCTTCATGACCTTCCCCTGATTTGTGCCTTGCCAAGTCTTTAGTATAGATATATTTATATATTTATATATATATTTGAACAGTTCATCCTTGCTGTGAATGGACTACCCAACTGAGCGATTTACACGAAGCTCATGGGAGTTTATCTTAAACACAAATGTTCTGAGGGCAGAAGGGAAAATGATTGGTTCAGAGAGAACCAATCAAATTACAGAAGAGGTTGGTCTGTGCAACTACAGGAATCGGGGCCAACCAATCAGATGTCTTGGCCCCACCTCCTCTAATTGCATGGACACACCTCATCAGCAATCGGATTGGTTATCTCTCTGAACCAATCATTTTCCCTTCTACCCTCAGAACATTTTTGTGTAAGTAAAATTCCCATAAGGTTACAGGAATGGATGATCTGATCTTGAAATCCTGTGAACCCTCTTTAATTCACACAGGTGAATTCTGTTGAATTAATTTAATGAATTCTGAAGGCAGTTCGTTAAACCAGAAGAGGTAAATACTAAGTTACGCCTCCACATTCAATAACTGCTGTCTGACAGCTGAGTCTTTTGCCTGTTTAAAGAGCTGAGTAAATGACGTCAATCAAAGGAGAAAAAACACTGAAAGGCATAGAATTGGTTAGAAAGGAGGACAAATTCTTTTCAGAAGTAAAATAGACTGACAGTTCTGATTAATTAAATTACAGTGTGTGCTTGCTAACACATTTCATTAAATTGTGTTGCAGACAGTTTATATTATTAACGAAGTGTTTCATTACTATTGGATGGATGATTTAAAGTCACTAAAAAAAATTTAAAAATGTTTTATTATCCAGAATTACATTTAATTTGTGTTGTTTTCACAGCACCAATTAATCGCAATTTTAATTATGAGGAGTGGACATGGGACAGCTGGAACTCAGACAAACACACTCAACCATTTAGCCAGTAATACGGTGTGGTGAGACACATGATTCTCAGCCATGTTTAATGACTGAAATGACAGAGATCTCAGCCGTGTTTGATGACTGAAATGACAACGATCTCATCCGTGTTTGATGACTGAAATGACAAAGAGATCTCAGACATGTTTAATGACTGAAATGACAAAGAGATTTCAGCCGTGTTTAATGACTGAAATGACAGAGATCTCAGCCATGTTTAATGACTGAAATGACAAAGAGATCTCAGCCGTGTTTGATGACTGAAATGACAGAGATCTCAGTCATGTTTAATGACTGAAATGTCAAAGAGATCTCAGCCATGTTCAATGACTGAAATGAAAAAGATATCTCAGCCGTGCTTGATGACTGAAATGAAAAAGATATCTCAGCCATGCTTGATGACTGAAATGACAAAGAGATCTCAGTCCTGTTTAATGACTGAAATGAAATGGAGCTCACATTCTGGGTTTCAGAGTCCCAGAGAGAATGGAGAAACTGTAATGTAAAGATTTTCAGTGTGTTTTCAGTGGAGCCATTGAAAGACATTTATCTAATGATGCAGCACAAACAGTGAAAAACTCTGAATCGTCAAACAACAGCTCCTGAGACACAGACCATTATAACAATACAATTTCTACTCTAAATAGGTTACAGAATATATTAGAACTGCAGTATTTAAGGCTGCATCTTTTAGTTTAATATAATATATAATTAGCTACGATGCTGCTTTTAACAGGAACAATAGAACATCTATGTACTGGTTCTGACTTCAGTTAATGCATGATGAGGTTTTGAAAAGCTGGGCTGCTTCAGAACTGGTCATCGATTATATTCCAACACTTCCATTAATCTGGAGTATGTCGTTCATGACTGGGTTTCTCAGCCTTCGTTCTGAGACATTGCTATGCTGGATATTAAGCTGGGTGTGACAGGTGGAGAAGCTTTTGAGTCTATGGGTGAAATGCTTGGCTGGGCCTGGATTCTGACTTGGGACTTGAGAGATGTCACATGACGAGGGATGCATGTCTGATCCCTGATGCTTGTATTGCATGTTAAAGGAAAGGTGGTCATATGGTGTCTCAGTACAGCCAAAGAAGTGGAGGCCATTGTGAGAGCCCAGGGGTCCACACCGGCCACCGTGGGCATCCTAAATGGTAGGGTCCATGTGGGGCTATCCGAGGAAGACCTTGACTTCCTCTCCCGTGGCAGCGGCCTCCTCAAAGTGTCCCGTCGAGACCTGGCCTACGCTGTGAGCAAGGTGAGTCCCAGCAGTGTCTTATCCTGATGATGTCACATTCCCCGCACATTCTCGTGTGCACGAATGAACCCTTTGAATTATTTGAATTTAGCTTAATATATTTTTTAATTCCTTTGATCTTTCTACTCAGTACAACTTATGAAGCATATCTCTGTCTGCACATCATCTGTGGTATATTTTCAATATTTCTGCTGAAGCATTTGACTTGCATTTTCCTGGAATCTAGCCTGAGCCATCTTTAGAATGAAAGAGCTTCTTTGACCAATGGCTTTCTGCACGCAGCACGGCAGCAGATTAAAATTGCATTCACATGGTCCAGTCACATGATTTCCTAAACTTGTAAGCCAATGCCAACACTTTACACTGGCCTCAAGCCTAAGGAGACAAGTCCAAAAATGGTAACATAATCACTGAAAAATATATCCTACTGGTAAACACTTTACTATCTTGTGTTGGCACGTATTAAAAATCATACAGTTAAAAACATGCCTTTCTGTAGCCATACAGATGCAAGCAGAAGTTTGCAACTGAGTGGAGCCAAAATGATTTTTGACAAGGTTTACATTTGACAGTTTGTCATTTAGTACTCAGAAGCACGGCTGGTTGCCTCACAGTAATTATGAAGCATGTTATTGCCTGAATAAGTGCGCTTTCTATGTCCCTCAGGGACTTTCGGGGGGGACAACCGTGTCGGGCACTATGATCGCAGCCCACCGAGTGGGCATCTCCGTCTTTGTGACTGGCGGCATAGGAGGTGTTCACCGGAATGGAGAGAGCAGTGAGTCTCAAAACCTTGAACCCTGTGTGTGATCTTCATAAATCTAAAGAATATCAACTTCTATTCTAGGTTCTTTTCCAGAACTGTGAATACATGCACATACACTGTGCTGTGTTTTTAGAATACAGCAGGGATGGATCATCTGGTTGCATTACTTCCTGTAGGGTCACTGTGTTGTCAACACACCAGGAATTATTGATCTATCTGATACAAGTTATGCATTTAAAGAATCAGCTAAATATATTGGCAATTTCTAGAATGTTTCTCCACATTCTAGTTTTTTTTTCCTTCCCATTCGTTCTAATTTAATTCCTTTAATCCTTTCTCTTCTCCATTTCCTTTTCATGACGCCAGTGAAGACTGTCTCAGTACATTAATATAAAAATCTGTGTACTTGTAAGAATAATGGTGATGCATTTCAGGAGCTCATGAGCTAGCCACCCTGTCATTGCAGCAATGGACATCAGCGCTGACCTCACGGAGCTTGGCCGCACCCCCATTGCTGTGGTCTCGGCTGGGGTCAAGTCTATCCTGGATATTGGCCGCACCTTGGAATTCTTGGTAGGCACACTAGTGAGAATGAGGTTTGCCCTGGGGGGCATTATTTACTTAACATTATTGAACCATAAATGAACAAAGACAGGGGCTGATTCAGTGTTAATCTGGACAACATTGGTCACATATTGGCAGATTCTCCATTGGACTGTTGAGTTGTGTCGCTTAGTGGATTAGCTTGCCAAATCTATGATCAGATGGTTGCTGGTTCATATCCAGAGTAACTTTATGGTTGGGCTCCTGTGTAACACCCTTAACCCTCAATTGCTCTGAGGACCTATCCCTGCTTTTTCTAAAATGTACGATAGCTTGGATAAAGGCATCTGTTAAAAAAGTAAAACATAAATAACCGTTGAGATGCATTCTTACTCAGATGGTGTGTGTATGCCAGTGAAGTGGGACAGCTAACGTGGGAAAGCCTCTTCACATCAGCTTTCATTTTAATCAATCTTTAATTCTAGAGGGTACTCTTATGACAGGAGTGTTATTCTAGGACAAGGCACTGAAACACTGAAGTAACCTCATTTCATGACAATCAGTCCAACAGGTAGTGTATATTTTACACATCCATGTAGATCCCTCATCAAACTTAAGATTAATGATAACATCCACCCTTCCATCATTTTCTTAAACCACTTCAGGGTTGTGGGGGGTCTGGAACCTATGGGCACAGGGCAGGGAAGCACCCAAGATGGGGCCCCACCTTTTGCAGACACACATGCCATATACTCAACATGCACACCTATGGGCAATTTGGTACCCAAAGGAAACCCCAGGACAACACGGGGAGAACATGCAGACTCCACACATGGAACATGGAACATGGAGCCCTGCTGGAGGCTTGAGCCCTGGTCCCAGGGGTGTGAGGCGACAGTGCCAACCGCTGCACCCCCGAGCTGCCTCTTCTATGATGATATGTCAGTGTGTAATAGTTGGCTTAATTGTAGTACCATAACATTAATTGACCTTTTTGAATTGAATTAAGGTACTCTACATTTCGTGAAGCATGCTGGCCCATTGCATCTGTTATTTTATGGTTAATGTCAGGCCCATAAATCAGAAAAAAAAAGTAATTTTACAAATATTTGTGTTACGTTGAAACCTGTGTTTACTCTATTTGTCCTCTCCTTTGCATCTGCTTTGCTCCTCCTAGTGATATATTGTTCTTCTTCCTATGTATTTGCACTGACCAGATGCTCTGGAAAATTGTACCAAGATGAACTGATTGCAGACAAATCAAAACTGTTGTTTAATGAAGGGTTAGTGAAAAGATTAATGGCTTCTCATCGCAAAGCTCAAATGGCCGACTTCTACTCTACCCGAATTCACCAATGTATAACAAATCAGTCATGAGGACCAAGGCTTAATGGAAGTCTACACCTTGTGGGGATGGTTCCTCTGTACGAAGAAACTTTGCAGACTTAGGTAGTCAATTAAAATGTTTGGATGTTTTGGAGCGTTGCTGCAAATACTGTGGTGACTTTAGGAAAGGTTTTGAAATAGCTAAGCTGACTTACTTTTACAAGCATAATATCACAGCTTTACACCAACATCATTTTCTGTGACTGCCTAAGACTTTTGCACAGTACTGTAGATGTCTTGTACTCACTGCCAGGAGACCCACGGTGTCTGCGTGGCCACGTTCGGCCGGTCCAGGCACTTCCCAGCATTCTTCACCCCTCACAGTGGCTTTGCCTCCCCTTATAATGTGGCTAATTCCCAGGAAGCAGCAGAACTGATTGGTAAGAAGCCTAATGTGATGGTGGCAGAAACCAGGATTCCACTTGACAGCATAATCTCCATTAACTGAATAAATTATCTACAATAATGAGACCATTAATATCCCTGCGTGTTTAATGTTAATGTTGATTTTGGGGGGCGGATGACAGACAAGTGGGCGGGGGGGGGGGGGGGGGGGGGCGGGTCCTAGCTGTATTCGGACAGTATTACAGTAATACTGCATACAGTTGTGCTGTATATTAGCTGTTAGTATATCCCTATGTGCTTAAAGATAACATCCCATTTTGATTGTTGTTATCATACACATATGTGCTTAATGCTAACATATTCAAGTCTGGTCACTGCTAGCATATCCATATGTGCTTAATGCTAACATATCCCTGTCTGCTTGCTGTTAGCATATCCATATGTGCTTAATGCTAACATATCCCTGTCTGCTTGCTGTTAGCATATCCATATGTGCTTAATGCTAACATATCCATATGTGCTTAATCACACAGACAGCGCATCCTGCCTGGGTCTGCAGAGTGGTCTGTTGGTGGCAGTACCCATCCCAAAGGAGCATGCTGCCCAAGGACAGGAAATTGAGGATGCTGTCCAGGCTGCTATGAAAGAGGCCAGGTATGAGTTGCCCCCTTGTTGGGCTCGTGAGAAGTATCAACATGACCTAAGCACTCTCAAGGTCCTCACAAACTCCCTGCCAAAACCAGGGCTGCCAACTCTCACGCATCTGACGTGACACTTACACTTTCAGACTCTCACGCTCACGCAAGAAACCTTACGACAAATCTATATTATTCCATTATAAATCTAAGTATTGGCTACATCAAAAGCAATGGGGTAGTTTGCAAGCTCTACAGACTGTTAACAAGGTAATAAAACTTACATACAGTACATGTAAAAGTTGGCAACCCTGCAATACAAAGCAACAATCTTAGGCCCCTTATACAACTTATAATGTTTTTAAAGGCAATTGTTCAAATACAAACAAAATAAAAACTTACTACAACTGATAAAGAATGATATTGGATACATCAATTAATATACAAGACAACATAATAAGAGACTATCTTCATAATTCAGTATTTATGTATATTTTGTTGATTGTATACTTCCTTTTGTAATAGTTATAAGAACATAAGAAATTTACAAACGAGAGGGGGCCATTCAGCCCATCAAGCTCGTTTGGGGAGAACTAAACTAATAGCTCAGAGTTGTTAAAATCTTATCTAGCTCTGACTTAAAGGAACCCAGGGTTTTAGCTTGCACTACACTAGCAGGAAGACTATTCCATACTCTAACTACACACTGTGTAAAGAAGTGCTTCCTCAAATTTGTTTTAAAATGTTCTCCCGCTAATTTCCACTTATGGTCAAGAGTTC